AGCGGGGAGTCTGCTTCTCCCTCTGACCCTCTTCCCTCTCATGCTCTCTCTCATTCTCTCTCTCAAATAAATAAAATCTTAAAAAAAAAAAAAAAAGAATACATGCTGCATAAATTAGGGCTATGTGGTGTTTGCCAAATGTGCCCCACCCCTCGAAAATATTGTTGGAACTGCTAATCAGTAGTAGAACTAGTGGTTCATTCCTTAAAGTACTCATTTCGGACACTCCGCTTTCCTGATCAAGCATAGCTCAAATCTTACCGGGAGAGGAAACACAGACGGTGCTGACACCATCAACAGTTACATCTGAGCCTTTCCTCTCCAGTCCGGAGAGCCAGAACACCGGGGGGGCTTCGGGGGTGCAGAGTGCGCGGAGGCGCCCATTTAGTCCGGTACGCCGCAGTTTTAAGTAGGTGGGGTCCTGGAGCCCGGCGCCCTCTTCCATCCTGCGATGGGATTTCTCTCCTCTTCCGGCATCTTCATGCCTTCAGAGCTAAAGTCCTTTCAGAAAAACAACAGGTGACGATGCAACCGCAGGAGAGGGAAGTTTGGGGACGAGCCCGAGGCTGAGCGAGTCACGCCCGCGGAGACCGGAAAGCCCAAGGGTGCTGCAGAAGCGCCCGGGAGTGGCCCGGGGATTTTCCGGGGCCGGAAGTGCCCCGCGTCGCCATGGCTACAGGCGCCGAAGCTCCCGGCTCAGTCCGCGGCGTTCCGTTCCCATGGCAACGCCATTGTCTCTCGAGCCGGAACCCGGGCTGCCCGCGCGCCAGGCGGACCGCGCAGAGAGCCTCGCTTCCGCCAGGCACCTGTGCGGCGCCCTGAACGAAGTCCGCCGAGGCCAGGACGCTGACGCCGCCCGAGGAAGCCGAGCTCTCCTGCTGAGGGAGCCAGGAAGGCTAGTTCCGGGGCGTGGCTTCTCTGCCCTCGGCCAGGTGGGCGGCCCAACCCCTACCTTGCTGCTCCCCGCCTGTGGTTTTCGAGTTGGAGCCTCTGTGGCACCACCCGCAAGAAAGAAGCCTCGGGATGCTCACTTGGGGCTCAGGATGTGGCTCAGGGTTTACGAAGTTGCGGTGAAGGGAAGAGGGAAGCGCTTTGCATTTGAGAGGGGGGCCAAAGTTTGGTATTCTAATTTATTCAGGACCGTATAGCACCTCATAGAACAGAATTTAGGAGGTTGGGAACTCAAAACTCCTCGCCCTGGCCATAGTTTTGAAAGTAGAGATTAGAAAGAAATTAATCTCCTTCTGGTGTTTGGATTGTGGATGTTCTGGAGCCTGTGTCAGAGAGAGCTACTCAGGGCTCAGATGGGAAGGAGTGACATTCTGCAGGGTGAAATGAGGAGCGACTTGGTGGGTGTTAATGTTCAGTGCATAACACTGCATTCGATTTAGATTTGATTTAAAGGGAGAGCCATGAGAATTGAATTTCACAAATAATTATAAATCAGATGTTTGTCATGAGGTTTCAGTCATTTCCCCCCTCAGCTAAGGACAATACCCAAACAGACGCTTGTGTGTTCTTAACTAGTACCTCCTATTAAATAGTGGGTTGGCGCTAGGGACAAAGAGAAGAATTAACCAATACGGTGGCTATACTTCATTTAATGCTTAGAACTGGTTGCTTGATTGGATCCATCTGGCAAAAACAATATCTGACTTGAGTAGGAGAACATAGTTTTGATGATTCGGGAGCTGTAAATATACTGGCTTTAAGGGGGTAAAAAAAAAAGTCAGGGATTTTGGAGGTACTCTGGAGTAGGAATTAGGGGAAAGAAATTTAATTCAGAGGTTTAATTTGGCAAATACCTTTAATTTCTGCCTTCTAGGTGTCTCTATATATGAGTGAGGATAGTCTATTTATGGATTTCAGATGGGTTATGTATTTGGGCAGTTTCAGTTTAATGTTAATAGCATCCAACAGAGGGAAAATAGAACAGACTTCTAAGCCTTTTTTTTTTTTTTTTTCCAAAGCCAACCTGACTTGTGATTCTTGATAGGACGAAGATGCAAGCCAGTCCCATCCGCATTCCAACTGTCAGCAGTGACATCGACTGGGATTTCTGCTTCCACCTGTAAGTACCACAGAACCTTGACATCACACTCAGTCACTGGCCTGGAACACGGACCTCCCACTTAAGGCAAACCTGGGCTGCGGAGCTTTGCGTGCATATTATATAGAAGAGAAGGTTGAGCTTCTGTGGTGTGTTTTAATAACGATTCTGCTATACAATCCATTTGTAATTGTGCAACCTGTGCGAGAAGGAACATAATTGTTTTTTCCTAACTGAAGGGAAGTTTTATTTATTTTTTTTTTTTAAAGATTTTTTTAATTTATTTATTTGACAGAGAGAGAGACAGCGAGAGAGGGAACACAAGCACAGGGAGGGGGAGAGGGAGAAGCAGGCTTCCCGCTGAGCAGGGAGCCCGATGCAGGGCTCGATCCCAGGACCCTGGGATCATGACCTGAGCTGAAGGCAGACGCTTAACGACTGAGCCACCCAGGCGCCCCGGGAAATTTTATTTTTTATAGATAGGTTAATTATACCAAGATTGATAAAGTCATGGGGAATCAAATATAACAAAGATAATGAGTAAATTAAAATTGTTTTATGAAATAAAGAGACAATAAGTAAAACTTTCACATCATAATAGCTAATACTTATTGAGCAAATACTTTGTGCCAGGCACTGTTCTAAGTACTCACATGAAGTCATCTATTGCCCCAACATCCCTGTACTGCTAGTACTATTATACTATTATAATTTTATAGCTAAGGAGTATGAATCAAAAAAAGCTTAAGTAATTGGCCCCAAATCCCACAGCTAGTGATTCAAACTGGGCGGCCGGATTGCAGAGTCAATTCTTTAACCATTTTTCTATACCAGGGTTTCCCAACCTTGGCACCGTTGACATTTTGGGTGGGCTAACTCTTTGTTGTAGAAGGCTGACCTATGCATTGTAGGATGTTTAGCAGCATTTCTGGTCTCTACCCAGTAGCTGCCATTAGCACCGTCCCAGTAATGACAAACCAAAATGTCTCCAGACATTGCCAGATGTCCCCTGGGGCCAATATCACCCTTGGTTGAGAACCATTGATCTATACCAATGCTATCAAACAGGAATATAATGCAGGTCACAAATGCCAGCCACATTTGTAATTTAAAATTGTCCAGTAGCCATATTAAAAAATAAAAAAGAAATAGGTAAATTGAATTTTAATACTGTATTTATCTTAATATATCTGGAATATTTTAAAAAACAAGTAGTGAAATATTTTATATTTTTTCTTCATGCTAAGTCTTTGAAATTCAGTGTGTATTTTATACTTATAGCACATCTCAATTCAGATTAGCCACATTTCATGTGCTTAATTTTAGTCATTTTGTACCACCTCATAAAATATCCTGAGGTTAAGGGTTGTATAACTTTAAAAATTGAAGTTAAGATGTAGCGTTCACGGTAGAGTATCTTGGAAGTAATCAGATAATTCATATGTATTATTACTAGTCTGAATTCATATTTATTGATGGCAATATATAGAATAAGTTATAAACCTGGCAAGACAGACCTTTCATTCAACCTGCCTATTCTTTTTATTCTGACTGTTATTTTATCTTTCAAGAAATCTGACTGGTCAGTATTCTCCAGTCATCTTTCTAATCTTTCATGACAAGATGTTCAAAGCTAGTTTAGGTCTTTGCATTCTCAAGTCATTTGTCAAGACCTCAATGTTTCTCCTTGCTTTGAGGTCGCTGTTGTTGAAGCTTGCTGCTTTTGGTCTCAGCTTAATTTTATTGAAGGCTGAACTTAAAATATTTAGGGCTTATAATTTTTAAGATCCATAATTGGCAATCTCTTTGGTGATCCCAGTAGATTGAACTTCTGTTCCAGGTCTTTGAAATATGCAGCCTAAGCAAAATCTTCTATTGAGGGACTAAATTTTCTGTTAGTTTTCTTGACTTAGGATCTTTTGCCACAGATTCCCTCTACCTTCAGTATTTTTCAAGTGTCCTAAAGACTATGTTTTCTTTTTTTCACTAATTTGTGCATCATTTAACAAGCCATTATTTATCTTTACTGTAAGCCAGGTATCAGGGTTTCAGAAATAAATGAGATTTAGCCCTGGCCCTGGTGCAGTTTATTTGCTAGAAGGCAAAGACTCAGAAACAAAACAAAGGAATTTTGAAAACGTGACTATAATGTGATTTGCACTATAGTAGAAGTTTGGAGGAAATTTTTGCAAGTCCTTTGGAGGGTGTCTCTACTTGCTACTTTAGTATGGGACTCCAGCAGAGGTGACATCTGAGTTGGGTCTTGAAGGAGGAGCATTAACTCACCAGGCAGAGAGGAGGCAAGCTTAGCACCTACCTTCTGATCACCTTGCATCAGCCATGTTCTCTGGCTTTTCCACTGAGTTTGCATGTCTTCTGAAAGCACACTTCTGTTTGTGGGCAGAAGGTGATTTTGCCAGGCCTGGGCCTGAAGAAATGTTGCTGTCCTGTCCCCGTGACCTGGTTTGCTCAGGTGCCTCTGGGTAGGTTATTTAGAACAGGAAGTCAGGATGGATGTTAACGTGTCATTTCTCAAACCTAGTGTAAAAGATTACACTTGACATTTGTTTTTCTTCTTCTTTTTCTTTTTTTTTTTTTACAGTGAACATTTATTACTTATCTAATCAGTGGAAAAGGAAGATAAATTTTATTTTTAAAACTATGTAGTGGTTGAACTTTTAAAAGTTGTACAACTTTTAAAATTGTATATACAAAGGTGATTCCTTTGGGAGACTTGTTTATAATTAAACATTCTGTTCTGTTCTTAAGATTTCAGAATTCTGTTTTTTCTGGATCACTTTGATTTTTCTGGCAATGTTAAGATGTGGTTATGTCTTTTTTTGTGTAAGATTACCTCCTTTGACTTTTATCCTTACCATTTCCAGTTACCCATTCATAATCATGTTCAGCATTGAAGTCAGAGATCTACATTGTGCATGTGAGACAGTAGAGGGGGCAGGAAGGAGGGGGGGCGTGAAGGGGTGGGAGGGAAAGAGGGGGCTGGGAGGGAGAGAGGAGGCAGGAGGGAGAGAAGCAAGTGGAGAGTGGGGAGATTTTCAATCCACTCGGCTTTTTATTCAACACATTTATTTATAATACAACTGAGAAGGCCATTTTGCTTCTGAATCTGCTCTTGACTTTGTGGAGTTCCCTCCCCTCTCCTTATTGGGACTACATCCTCTTCAGTTAGTTGGCCAATACTTTTAAGAAATATGAAAGAGGACAGTGAAGTCTGGCCTCAAACTGTTAATTCCCTTCCCATTATTTCATTGTACCGATTTTCTTTCCTGGTTTGGATCAGAATTTTAGAATGAAAAAGATCTTTGAGATCTTCCAATTCAGCACTTCCATTTTGGAGCTAATAAAATAATAGCTAATATTAAAATAGTACTTACTAAATAGCAGGCGTGATGCTAAGTGATTTATGAGTATTATCTGATTTAATCCAGTCACCTCTTCTGATTGACCCCATTTTACAAAGAAACAAATTAAATAATAACTTGCTTGGGGTCATATGGTTAGTAAGTAGCAGAGCTGGGACTCTGAGGGAGGTGGGTGGTTTAACAAATCTGTTTCATTTGAATCACCACATTGCTGTCCTGATTCTGCACTTCAAGGGGGACGCGAGCTTATCCCCAGACTTTATTCCTTCAAGTTTCTGATAGAGCGCATATCCCTACCCCCCATTTGTTCTTCAACTTTAACTGATTTGAGATACACAGAGGTCAAATCTGAATCCACGTCCCTCTCTGGTATCTACAGGTCTCAGCAAGCCAAGATCCCAGCATACCAGCGAAGAGAAGAATTGTGTTCCTCTAGTGGGTCTGGAGAGAGTGAAGAAGACACTACAGCCAAGGAGGAGAAGACCACAGTCTGCATGTCTCTTCCTAAAGAGAAATTGGCCCAATCCCAGAAGAAAATAGCTCAGCTGATTAAGAAAAAAATGGTAAAACAAAAAGCCCACGAGGTTTTAGTTTCCCTTTAAAAATATGTCCACGATGACAGAAGCTCTGCCTTCAGTGGACATTGAAGCGCTCAAAGTAGGGGAAGTTGTTATATTTCTTTATAAGCAGAAGAAAACAAGGCAGAGCATAGTGGGGTAGCCACCCTGCCTTCGGGTTCCACACCAGGGTCACTGTGCATTCTTCCATGGAGGGTTTGTGCTCCTGGCTTTAAATTGAAAATGAATGTTTTGTTCTTTGTGTTTATGTTTGATTACCTTTAATTAAAAAAAAAAAATTTTTTTTAATTTCTCCTGAAATGTTTCAGAATGAGATCCCTTGGGTAACAAGAAGGCCAGGATAGTGAGGCAGGAGGCTGAGAACAAGGGTAGCCAGGCTGAGGCCCAGGCTCAGATGCCAGTGGTTCAGTGGACTCATAAGCAAACTAAAGCACCAGAAAGGGGAGGTTGCAACAGAGGTCAGAGTCCAGAGGTGCATTTCTCAGAGCGAGAAAAGACTTGGTAACTAGGACCTCAGAGCAAGTGCTATTAATAGAATGTTCAAAATCCGGGAGCCTGAGATAGGATGACGGTGACCTTCATTATTAGAACACAGGCACCAGCATGTTCCTGGAGCATGATTTATCCACTGAGGAATTCATACACTGACTTCCTGGCCAGGGAAAAAAAATGAGCTTAAAATGTCTAGAGGAAGGGTCTGTAGATGGCTTTAGGAAAGGCCAAGAGACACCTCACAGGCAGATGATAGAAGCTGATACCCCTACTTGGATAGATCTATAAATTTACCTCTGTAAATCATCCAGAGGACTTGCAGAGGACAGTCATCTTGGCCTGTACCCATTCATATTTCACAGCCCTAGGCTAGAACCTTTGCTTTTAGAAACAGACAAGTACCATCTGCCATAGAGTACAAGTGTGGGTTTTTAAGGCTTGACAACTCCTTGGCCAGTTTGGATAATGACTAGAGTTGGAAGCGGAACCTATAGATGAAAAGAGACTCAGGAGACTGATCTCAACGTATGGACAGGCAGACTGTAAAAAAAAAAATATTAGATTTATGAGGTAATTATTAGATTTATGAGACTAGATATTTAATATTACAGAATTATTAATATTTTGGTGAGAGTGGTTTTCTGGTTATATGTCTAAGTCTGTATCTTTGGGAGATACTCATGAGATATGAAATGATTTAATATCTGATTTTTCTTCAAAATAATAGGGTGGGTGGATGAGGGGGATAGATATGAAACAAGATTGACCATGAGTAGATACCTCATGAAACTAAGTGAGCCCTCTCCATGCTATTTTTGTATATTGCTAAAGTTTTTCACAATAAAAGGTTAAAGGAAGTCACGCTGGCTATGATGTTGAGAGTAGACCGGGGCAGGGGGGCGGGGCAAGAGTGGGAGCAGTTAGAAGCGGCTCTTGTGGTCAGCTGGGTGAAAGGTGAGCATGGTTTGAATCAGGTACTCATGGCAGAACTGAGGAACAGAGCTTAGTGTGAGGACTTAGGAATAAGGGACAGCCACCAGGCCTTGCTGGATTGGTCATGGGATGGGAAGGGGAGAGAAGAGAAAACGACGACAGGTGAATTCAGTCCTATATTCCTGTGAGAAGAGCCTGGGCTAGAGCTTTCCCTCCTTTCCAAAAAGCATAATGATGTCTTTGCTCTCTACAGAATACCCAAGCAAACAAGGAGCTGATTCGCTGTGTCATCCTTTCTCGGATTATTTTTGGGGAAGAACACTGGAAATGTGCACAGGCTGTGGCCAGCCTGGCTTACGGCTACCTGACACTGAGAGGTACATGGATTCCCCCACTGGGTCTGGGTGGGCCAGCCTGTGAGAGCCAAACTAAGCCAACCTACAAGCACGGTGGGGGTGGGGATGACAGGCGGCGGGGGGAGGGCCCTTCCTGCCCCCAACTCACACCTCAGCAAGAGGCGGGAAAGTCCATGGATGAGGCAGGCAGTGTGGCAGGGATCTTAGAAATAAAGATAATGATGATAGCTAATTTATTGAATGCTTAGCATGTGCCAAGCTATCTCATTTAGTCCTCATAATATCCCTTGGAGGGAGATACTGTTATTGTCCATAGTTTACAGATGAGGGCAAGGAGATACAGTGGGCCAAGGACAATATGAGAAGTTCCAGCCACAGGTCCACAAGGGAAGGACGGGCAGGTATGTACACTCAGCATCAGGGTGAGTGTCCCAGTAATAGGACCTGAATTCTGTGTACAGAACTCAAGTTCCTGGAAGATCTGGCTGAGAAAAAAACCAAGCCCTCATCCTAGAGAAATGGTGCTTTCTGGAAGGTACTCTGTACAGAAGAACAAGATTGGGAGGCATCTGCTAACACTGAAGCCCAAGTGTAAGATCCATGAGGGCAGGAACTTGGCAGTAGAGGCTCAGTAAATATTTGTTCAGATGAACTGGGGCCAGAACATATCTCTGGAACCAAGGATAGGGTCAGCTCAGGGCTTTGTGCCTGTGACCAGCTGGGCCGTCCTACAGGAACTACACACACTCCTGCCACGGATCTCTTTGTACACATTCACATGTGCTTTGTTTACATGCCTCTGTCTCTGAAACAGAAGCTCCCTGAGAGCAGGGACTAGGTCTCCCCTATAACCTAATACAGTCTCTAGGACACAGTATGGATCAGCAGATGTCACTGCTTGATAGAACTGAGCCACTGGCCTAGGACTTCTTCAAGTACCCCATGGACCTGGGTCTTCAGGTAGGGCCTAGCTTACCTAACAAGTAAATGATTTAAGGGCCTAAGAGGGTTTGAGGGCTACAGAAGGGAACCAATATACCTGGGCCATAAGGGGCCTAGATATCAGAAATCAGAGCTTGAGAAAGTTAAAATGGAATTCAATTTATTATTAACCTCTGTAATTTATAATTAATTCTGTTAACCTCAGAACATGTGTTCCTTCTTAGGGCTCCCTGGGGCCTTTTGAGCTCATGTTTTTAATGAAACTTTAGATTCCTCTGGCCATTGATGTGGCAAGCCCGTGAGTGGTTGATGCTGGGGACGGTGAAGCAGTGGGCCACAGTGAGGTCGCAGTGGGGCTCTTCCAGGCCTTAAGAACACATCTGTTGTGTTCCGAGAGAAGGCCGACATGGCTAAGGAGAAGAGGGGGTCCTCACTTCCTGGCAGAACAGGCAACCACTTGTCTGTGAGATTTAAGGGACATCAGGAAGGCCTTCAGCAAAAGAGAATCTTCTAATGGAGCTACATTATTTGCCATTTGGAATTTCTCTGTTTCATTCAGGCTGATCTCCTCATACACTTGCTGCCTTCATAAGAGTACAAATTTAGCTCTGTGCCATTTTAGCCCTTGGAGGGCTCACGTGAGAAGTCTGGTGGCACTGTGCTAGATGTGCGGTGTATGAATGAAGACTGCTAGTCCCTGCCCTCTGGAAACATACAGAGATCTTAGAGTAGGCAGGGACAGATTATCATAGAGGCAGGAACACAGTTCTGGGGAAACAAATGAGGCAGATCAGGGGTTCTGCCACTGGTCAGGGAAGGCTGTAGAGAGAAGGTAACATTTGTCTTGTCTTTGAAGGACCAGGATAAGTTTGCCAAGTAGATTTCAAGGGAGTAGAGAACCCAGAGTTGGCCCTCCACATGTATTGATCCGAGGAGTGGGAGGTGAGAGGGACTCTATGAAACTCCTTACACAGAACACTGTGGACCCACAAGGTTAGGGTAGAACAGAAGACATCTCAGGACAGACGGGTCTTGCCTGGCAATGGGACCAGAAAGTTAATTTGGGCCCAGGTATCAAGGAATTTTGGGAGTTATTAAAAGATTTTGAGTGAGGTGGTGACATAATCAAGCTTATGTTGTGAAGTGAGAAACTCTGGAGGATGGGTTGGTCTGATAGAAAAAGTAGAGGTGCAGAGCAGTTGGGCCGTTATCCTGCCAGACAAGAGTCGCTGAAGGCATTGGCCATGGCAGTTGGAATGTGGCAGAAAGGACACACAGAATTGGTGACATGTAGTGGGCAATTACATATGGGATGAGAAGCTGAGGGAAGAGCTGGGTGGAATAGGGCTTGACCTGGATGGGTAGCTGAAATAGGGAGCTAAAGAGGAAGAGGAGGCTGATGGGGGGGCAGGGGGGAGAAGCTGCTGAGTTTGGTTTCAGACAGGCCAGATCATTGCCGGTGGGAGGAGGCCATGGAGCATCATGGTAAGATATTCGGTAGGAAAAGTGGAAAGTGGAGCCAGAGCTGGGGAAGGATGTCAGTTTGGGAGGGATCCACACATAGGGGCAAGTTGAGGCCATAAGAGTGGATGAACTTCATCAGCAAAAGTAGAGAGAGAAAGAGGGCAGAGGAGAGAAGAGGGGAGAATGAGAGCATCGGGAAGGCCATGGAAGCAGAGCCAGCAGAGGAAATAGAAGAATCAGGAGGGGCCGTGTCAGGGAAGAGAAGGGGTTTCAAAAAGAAGTGCAGTGTGGTTCCAGCAGTTTCAGAGAGAGTTCGGATGACGTGAAGGCTGAAGAGAGACCTGTGGATTTGATAGTTGGCAAATCATGGGTGCTTGGTTTGGCATCGACAAGTACACTTCTTGGGCCCCAAGAGAGCCCAAGCGAGGCTGCCTAGGAGATTTTTGCTGAACTCGAGCCTTGCAGTGATGGCAGCTTGAACTGGAGAAGGCACCGCGAGTTTTTTGGGGGTACACCGGCCTGAGCCTGGGCCGGGCCAGAGGCTGCCTCCCTGTGTGTGGAGAGATTATCGTGGTAGGTCTGTGGAAGGAAGTTGGTCCTCATCTTCTGAAATCAACCTGTTCCATGAACAATCACTAATGGACTCTGAGTTTTACTTTTCCAGTTAGATTCCAAGTTCGGTCAAGATAGGTAAACAGGTTATATCACAGAAGATGATGAGAACACCATCCTTTTTTCTCTGATTCACAGTTCTTCCTGCCACGCAAGTGGAGAACCACAGTTGGGGTGGTATGTTGGAGGGGGAAAAAATGTTTTCCTTTTGCAGGAAGATTTGTTTGTTTTTTCTAGATGGGAAAAACAATGTCCTGATGAGACAAAATGCCTACGTAATAGAACAGTATCCACCCTTGATCCCAGACTTTCTTTCTTTTCTTTCTTTTTTATCTAATGATACAGACCTTGCTATTTGGGGATTATAGAGTACAAAGGTTTTTGTTTTGTTTTGTTTAAAGGTTTTATTTATTTATTTGACAGAGAGAGCACAAATAGGGAAGCAGCAAGCAGAGGAAGAGGGAGAGGGAGAAGCAGACTCCCCACTGAGCAGGGAGCCTGACGCGGGGCTCGATCCCAGGACCCTGGGATCATGACCTGAGCCGAAGGCAGACGCTTAACGACTGAGGGAGGCACCCAGGCGCCCCTGAAGCCAGACTTTGTGAAACCTAATGTAGCGTTTTTCCAGAATAGATTATGATCGTGACCTTTTCTTGAGAATAACCTCTTATTTCAGCTATAGTACTTACCCAGTCTTTCCCTGTAACTTTTTTTAAAGTCTGTGGTCCATGAAATAAAACAACCTAAGCCTTGAAAAATCACAAACCTCCAAGAGGGATGAAGTGCTTGCCGAGTTCCACTTAGTTTTGTTGTCATTAATCCTCAAGTGCTTTAAAATGGGCAGAATTTATGAGCTGGCCTTCTGTGTAGGCGGGATGGACGCGTCTGTGCGCGTTCATGCCTCGCTGTGCGTGTGTGTGTTTTATAGCCATCAGACCTTCTTGTCTCATTTCCCTGCGAGCCTTTTCCAGCCCTGGGGGTGGGGGTCAAGCCAAAAGGCTGATTTCTCTCAATAAACGGTCTTCCAGGGAGTATTTACTGAGGGACTTATATATTTGCAAAACCATAAAGAGCACTTTGGGAAATAAAACATACAGAAGGCACAGTGTTTGCCTTCAAAGAAGTCACAACATCGTGTGGAAGGTGAGCTACATACAGACATAGTTATGGTAGAAGGCACCATAAGGCAAACGCCATGTAATTGATTTAAATACAGGGCTTTGGGGAAGTCGGGTGGAATTATTTCTGGCTGAGGTGGTAAGTGATAGACTCAGGCGGGAAGTGCCATTCAAGAAGACCCTTAAAGAAGGGGCAGGGTTCAGGTATACAGAAGGGGTGAGCACTTCTGGTGAAGAACAAGGCCTGGAGGAATGAGAGCACAACGTGTATCTAGAAAGCAGTGGGCAGGCTGTCTAGCCAAGGGCAGACTGTTAATAGGAACCCGAAAAGGAGGGTATGTTGGCAGACCACGGTGGGTTTTATATACAGGCTAAGGAGTTTGTGATTTATTTGGTAGACAAGGAGGATGACTGGAGATTTTCCAGCAGGCAGATGAATACATCCAAGAGTGATTGGGCAAAGGTTAATCTAGCAATGATAGCCAGCAGGGAAGCTATCTGGTGATCTAGATGTAACACTGTGCTGGTGACAAATGGAATGAGTGAGAAGGTAAGGATTTAAGAATCTCTGAAGGACAGATACATTCATCTTTTATCTTTCTGGGAGTTTTTTTTAAGTACACACTTATAAAAGAACAAGGATAAGATCATTCTTTGCGGGGCTCCTGGGTGGCTCAGTCATTAAGCATCTGCCTTCAGCTCAGGTCATGATCCCAAGGTCCTGGGATCAAGCCCCACATCCGGCTCCCTGCTTGGCAGGAAGCCTGCTTCTCCCTCTCCCACTCCCCCTGCTTGTGTTCCTGCTCTCTCTATCGCTCTCTCTCTGTCAAATAAATAAATAAAATCTTAAAAAAAAAAAAAGATCATTCTTTGCTGCATTGTTTA